GTTTTTTTTGTTTGTTTGTTTGTTTTATGTTGTCTATCCAAGGGTGCCTGGGTGGCTCAGTTGGTTAAGCGTCTGACTTTGGTTCAGGTCATGATCTTGCGGTCCGTGAGTTCGAGCCCCGTGTCCAGCTCTGTGCTGACAGCTCCGAGCCTGTAGTCTGCTTTGGATTCTGTCTCCCTCTCTTTGCACCTTCCCCACTAGCACTCTGTCTCTCTTTCTCTCCCAAAAATAGACATTAAAAAAAATTGTCTATCCATTTTACAAGAGAACGTTCCAAGAATAGAATTTTATTTTGCCTAGCTTGGACCAGAACCTACATGTGTATTAAAAGAAGCCCAGTTAGGAAACAGAAATATCTTACTTAGTCAAAGATGTGTTTCAACTAAGATAAGGAAGATGGATTTTTTAATATATGGATCCTGCACAAGGCACTTTTCTTATTTTATCTTATTTGTATGGCTTCAGACATCAAAAATATTCATAGAGAAATTATTCATACACACACACAGCAAAAAAACCACACAACCAACCAACCACACCCAAGCAACTTACTTTCTAAGTTGATGGTGTGACACAAGAGGTCAGAATTAGCCCTGGCTGCTACCTTTCTTAATTTCCATCATCACACGAAATTTAAAATTAAGTCCCAGGTAAGAGGGCATTGCACCATCTAAGAGTTGAATGAAGAGAGGCTCATAGCCACCATCATTCCGGAAAGACCCACAGAGCCCCTTTATGGGACCAGATGCTGAGAAACAATCTACCATGACAAGAGCTTCTTCGTTCACTGGAGTCCATATTTCCCTCCTGCTATATCTTAAGAGACAACTGTTATGTTGTGAAAAGAGCATGGGATTTCTATAGTGGAAAATGAATTGCCACATGGGAAAGGTGGCCAGATAACTCCCTGAGTTCAGGGCAGGGAGAATCTTTCCTTGGCCTCTGGGAGTTGTCTGGCCCATGCTAAGTGCCTATCAGGCTCTGTCAGAACAGACCCTCCCTCGGTTTAGGAAGGACAGGGTGGCCACTGTTGTCCACACTGAGGTCTCACAGAGGTCAGGATAACACTGTAGTGATCCAAATCCTACTGGCTACCTCGCTCACCAGGCAATACGAGGAACTAATCACAGACCTCAGGGATCCCATCTGATCTACAAAAAGGAGGCAACACTTTTTTTTGGATAATGTTATGTTTTTGCGGAATCAGTACCACAAACGGTGCTGGATCCCTGGAACTTTCTGGGAATGTAGGAGATCCAGAGGTAGAGATTGGTTCCATTGGAAGCTGGCCAGGAGGACAGAGACAAAGACAAAGGATTGTAGTGCAGCCAGACCCCCAAGCAGGGGCGGCGGGGGGGTGGGGGGGGTGGGTAGGGGAGCAGAAGTGGGACCCTGGGTCTTCCACACGCTTTCTGAGATGGACCATAATCGATTAAAAGTTCTCAACAGCGACGAACGTGTTAGGACTGAGATGGAGTTTCCTAGTGGTGGGGGTGGGGGGTGGGGGGCTCATGAGTTCCCGCATGAGGCGTGAACAGCAGAGTTAATTCCAAGACCTCACAAATGAAGATGCTGGGCTGCATCCTACGGGCCTTGTGCTGATGTTCATTTACCTGGATTGAGAGCCACTTAGAGATCCACAGGGAAGGCAAAGGAAAAATGGATATGGTGGATGCTCATTTTGTGTTCTTGTGACAGGGTACACTGTCACGGGGAGGGAGGGAGGATGAGCAAAAGGACTGAGGCCTCCAAGGTCGATGACCTGCAGCCTCTAACCCCGTGCTGTCCAGTACAGAGGCCATGGCCACGTGTGGCCCCTGAGCACCTGAATTATAGCTAGTCTGAACTAAGATGTACTGAGCACATCTATACCAGACCTGAATACTTAGTGACTGTAAAACAGCTCATTAATATTTTTATATTGATGGCATACAGAAATGACAGTGTATTGCATATATCTGGATTAAGGGCAGCATATTATTAAAATTAATGTAAAATAAACTAATCACCCATTTCTTTTCACTTTTTAAATGTGGCTACTAGGAAATTTGAAATTACTTGTATGGCTTGTAATATATTTCTATCAGGCAGCGCTGCCCTAAACCAGGGGGAGGGAGAACATTCCTGCCCCCAAATCTCAGATGGGTGCTTGGTCCTCATGGCAAAGATCAGTTTGGCAGAGAGATGGGGCCAGCTGGCAGACAAAGGGCAGGGGCCAATTGTCAGTAAGGAGTGTCATTTGGTGTAGCTGGGACCCTTCTTCAGCACCCGGGACCACCGGTGTACTTGGGAGGGGCTGGGGATCTTCCAGCAAATGCTGGGAGCATCTGTTTGGCACTGGAAGACTGGCACTGTCTCACTGGGGCCACGGCCAACGTGTGATCCATGTGTCCCATATTCACTGGCCTCCACATAGTCTGTTAGAGACGCACCTGCTTCATGTGTTCAAGTGTGGTGAGAACGATGCGGTAAAATCCCACGTCTGTCAACCCCATGGAAGCAGATTTTGCAAAATTCTAATTTTTGCTTAAATGCTCTAATTTTATCATTGGCAACAAGTCCTGTGAGTCGCCCTCTCGAAGCTGTGGGCTCCACTCCCTCCATTTTAAGGAAAGTGTCTCCAAAATCCTCAAGTCTGAATAACCGTGGTTTGTCTCTCTTTCTTGTGCGTGAAAATCGCGCTCCGTGAGAAATGTGGTGAGTTTAGCTCCCAACTCAAGACCAGCACCCAGTGCTCTTTCTGGAGTCAGCTGGAAACGGGTGTGCAACAAAAGCACCTTACACACACTGCCATTTCCTCGCACAGAATAATAAAAAGATGGCTGCTCACAGATTGAAGTTTAATACAATTACGAGTTTTTAATGCTCCATCAAGATTATTCTCTTTTTAAAAAAAAAATGTTTAGTTTTGAGAGAGAGAGTGCAAGCGAGTGAGCTGGGGAAGGGCAGAGAGAGTCGGGGACAGAGAATGTGAAGCGGGCTCTGCACTGACAGCAGAGAGCCCAAGGCAGGGCTCGAACCCACAAACTGTGACATCATGACCTGAGCTGAAGTCGGACGCTATGATTGTAATAATCATCGAGATCATTCTTGTGACTTGGGCTTCTAGTTCCCATGAGTTGATGGCAGCGAAGAATAGAATGGATGCTATGTGGTTCCTGCTAAATCACAGCAGTCTTTGCCACCGTTGTTTTTGCACCCTGAGTACAAATATCAACACCGTGGAAAGGCGGATCACGTCTTCTGCTTCCTCCTCGTGGGCACCCTGAACATATCTTGACGATTCCAAGGGGTCCGCGGACCACATTCAGAGCTGTGCCCGCTGAGGCCAGTGGGGGATGCCCACCGCTTACCTGGTCATTGTGACCTGAGAGGAAGGAGGGGGCGGCTCCCCGGAAGAGATTCAAAGTTCTCATTTGGGTTTTATAAAGATGAGCCAAGTGAATGCATAGTCCGTGGCCGCACAAGAACACCTTCCATGCCATACTTACCTTGCGTACTGCTCTGCAGCAGACATTTCCTAAAACCCTTTCACAGAACAGTGAAGGGCCCGCTGTGTGCCAGGCCCTGTACCGTTTTTCTTCGTCTGCACGATCTCACTTAACCCGAAGTGGTCCTTTGAGGGTGGAGACTAATATCAACCCGATTGGCAGATGAGGATACTTGTGGCAGGTAATTCTTCACCCAGGAGGAGACACCGTGGAAAGTAGCGGAGCTTGGACTCCATCCCAACTCTTAACTAGATCACGATCCCAAAATGCCACACAGGAATGTCACCTGTGTCATTAAATATATTGAAATAAATGGATGATTCTCAATTAAAAAAAAAATCATCGGTGGACATTTTCATCCAATGAAATCTAGAACAGAAGCCTAATCTGTACAACAAACCAAAGCAAAGTGGCTAGCTCAAGGCTGGAGGAGATCTGCGGGGTTGAGCAGACTCAGGTTTCTCCCGTCCTTGGGTCTCCCTGACGTCCCTTGGAGGAATGAATAACTAGGACTCCCAGTACCCTAGGGATAGGGTAAGCATCCCAAACCTACGAGTTTGATCCCTGCTCCTACAGCACACCTTTTAAAGATCTGCTCCATTTAGTTTGCAGGTCGCTGCATTTAGTCTGTGCAGGTCGGAAGTTGTTTTCCAAAAAGCCCTGCGGGGAGGTGGCCGGCATGGAAATCTATACTCCTTGCTTTAAATAAGCATTCACAACAAGTTTTCCTTTGCGCCCCTTGTAGTACACTTTAGAAGTGATGTATACAGGATACAGCCACAGCATTCCAGAAGCTCATTCCCAGGGTGAATTACAATGTGCAGCGTGGGAAGGACCCTGGGGCAGAAAAATGACGACCCGCCTGGGCCTTGGTCTGGCCTCCTCACACATCCCAGATTTTAGACAAGTTATTCTCTCTGTCTGGGCATCAGTCATGGCATATCATTGCTAGATTGGTGAGTCAGGATAAGAGGTGAATCCTAACCTATATGAGAATTTGGAAATGCCCAAAATGAACATGGCGGGAAAAATACCATTTTGCATATTATTTCAGGTTTGCATGCACTGCTTGGATTAATTGTAAGGTTCTTTTTATTTGTAAAATATTATGTAAATGTAGAATTACCAAAGAATAAGTTGCATTTGTGGTTCCAAAAAATTAAGAGTGAGCAATTTCAGTGTAACGTTTTATCAGTAATTACTAATGACCTATACGCTGGTAAATATCAAGGTGTCTTGTGAGAAACCGAAAACTCAAAAATGGCAACTGTCTGATTCCACCACTGCTAAATAGTAAGTCAAAAATATTTGCCCTCCATTCTTTGCTTCTGTTTAGAGCCTCATTAGCTTAATGATTTACCTACCTTAAGAAATAGAAATAAAATGATAAGAATACTACATAGAGGTACAATGATTTGTAAGCATATATAAAATTTATTTTCTAAACATACATGTTGTGTTTTTACTGTAAAAGTAACCTTGCTATTCTTTTGTGACTTTTTCCCCCAGATATTGTAAGAAAAATTCTACAGAAGAAGTTTGACCTCTCAACTGATTATGAGAAGGTAATTTTTATTGATACATTTGTTAGTAAAAATAAGTATGAACAAAATTTTGGTTGACTTGAAAGTAAATCTTTAAGCAATCAGTTCACCTGTGAACTTTGTAATTTTCTTTGACTAAGAACTTTTATGGAATATTGAAACATCTTATAAATCCCCTTTGATTTCTAAAGCAGAAATTCCAAAAGTAGCATTTGAAAAAACATTCACCTTTTAAGCTGTATGTATTTCTGTATTTAAAAACTGAAATTTCCTTAAGGGAAGTAATGGGGTAGGGTTTTTTTAGCTAAGGGAGGAGAGAACTCCCAGACTAAGTAGAATTGTTTGACCATTTCTAGAAACAGGGATGTGTACTTTGTTTCAAAATACAGTTTGGTAGGGGCGCCTGGGTGGCTCAGTCGGTTGAGCTTCCGACTTTAGCTGAGGTCATGATCTCACGCTCATGAGTTCGAGCCCCGCGTCGGGCTCTGTGCTGACAGCTCAGAGCCTGGAGCCTGCTTCAGCTTCTGTGTCTCCCTCTCTCTCTCTGCCCTCTCCCACTCATTCTGTCTCTCTCTCAAAAATAAATAAAAACATTTAAAATTTTTTAAAAAATAAAATACAGTTTGGTAAAAAGCAGCTTCACATTGGAACAGGTGTATTGAGAGCTCTGTGTGTGCACTTGCCTGGGCTAAGGATAAGGAAAATCGCCCTTGATCTCAGGAGGCAAAGAGCCAGATGGCAGAGACCATACTTGATTGTTTAAAGAAGTAGAAGGAGAAGAAGGAAATAAGTAGATTTATAAGTAACAGGAAGAGGAACGTAGGTGAAAAAAACGTAATTCTGACCAGGAGTTCTTGCATGAAAGGTGATTGGGGGGCCTGTTGTAAAAAAAAGAAGAAGGATAAGCAGGGCTGGAGCAGGTGGGGAGGTGGCTTTGCTGGCATCCGAGTCTTCGGGGACCACGGGAGCCACCAGGACAAGGTGTGAAAGAGTGGAGAGGAAGGAAAGGCGGCCTGGGACCCTGAACGCTCGCTAATATGAGCAGATGGTATTTTCAGAAAGTATTAAAGGACCTTGTGTGCCTCTGCTGAATACCAAGGTGTTGCGCATTCATTCTGTTTGCATCTGTGATGGATTACCCAAACACAAGAGTGTCCTTTGCTTTTGGTTTACGATGAGTGCAGGTTGCCAGTGAAATAAACAGATGTGTGTTGTACTGAAAGTTAGGATAATTAAAAAAAAAAAAATAGTTGAGGGGCGCCTGGGTGGCGCAGTCGGTTAAGCGTCCGACTTCAGCCAGGTCACGATCTCGCGGTCCGCGAGTTCGAGCCCCGCGTCGGGCTCTGGGCTGATGGCTCGGAGCCTGGAGCCTGTTTCCGATTCTGTGTCTCCCTCTCTCTGCCCCTCCCCCGTTCATGCTCTGTCTCTCTCTGTCCCAAAAATAAATAAACGTTCAAAAAAAAAATTAAAAAAAAAAAATAGTTGAATCTGTCAGGCTCTTAGTCCTGAAGGATTAAGTACTTTGTCCTCTCCTGAAAGTGGTTATCAAGAGAACAATAAAAGCAGACACACGGGGGACATTCTTGAATGGCCAGCACAGCAAACGTGAATGACAGCGTCCCAGTGTGGTGGGGGCAATGTATGGGGAGGGCGGTGATCTCTCGCCCAGTGAATGGTCACCTCAGATGCTGTGGTGACAGTGCCTCATATTCTCAGTTTGCAATAAAGTGATACCCAAGAGAAAACAAATGCAGATGCCAAAGAGGAAAGCCTTATCTAAAGACCATTTACACGAATTAGTTTCTCTCTAGCGCTCACAGCCTTCCCTAGTACCGTGGAAAAACATTTTCGCTATGAAATGCCCGTGGCTTCCTATGTCTCCCAAACGTGGTTGCCGATGTATGCCTGCCTCCCTGGGCAGAACAAAATGACCGTTGCTTGTATATTGATATCGAAAAATAACGTACCATTAGCAGCCTGGCCCGAGTGCCAGCTAGTTCTGCCAAAGAATGGGTGGGGATTGCGCTTCACCTGGTCCAGGCCTCGGAGGATGGGGTCCTGAGACCTTGAGGTGACTCTGGGCACCTCAGCCACTACCCGTGGCGAGATTCTTAGTTGGGCCAGTCCTTTATGGCTGGCTTGGTATTAGATTTGGAGCTCCTGTGAAATTGGGGATCTCCCTGGTGCCTGATTTCCTCTCCACCTCAGGTGCCTTTGCAAATGGACCAACACCATTGGCATGGGGGACAAGTGCACTGAGTCCTCATGCATGACCTGAATTCCCCCTTCACGTGGGATCGGGTCACGTTTTCCACTGTTGTCCAAGAAAGAGGGATTTGGTTAGGGAGAGACACTGGAGAAGCCAGACACCTCAGGAGGGGGGCTCTCTGATTGCTTGTAGTCTGACGTATGCCGGCTGTGTTGGGTTGGAGTCCTCTGAAGCAGACCCTGAGTCAAGGCCTCGCGGTCACGTCATTGGTTTGGGAGGTGCAGGGGACACTGGCGGGGAAGTGGAGAGGTAACACGAGGGAGAGAGGGCAGCCTGGAAAGGGTGTGGCATTAAGCCACCGGCCACGGGACGGCTGAAGCTTCATCCTGTAGAATTGCCGGGGCAATGATGTAAAACCCCAGTGTCCAAATTAGTCCCTGGGAAGTGTGAGGGAGCTGAGGTTTCCGGACTGAAGGGGCACAGGTTAGGGGCAGTGTGGGGGCAGAGGACTGTGTTAAGCCCTAAGCACTTCTGACCTGCTGTGGTACCGGAAAAGGCCGGCAAGCACAGAGTGAAAGATGCCGGTAGCTAGAAGCTTGAGGAGGTACATGGAGATGATTGAGGCCTGAGAGATATGGGAGCCCCAGCAGCGTCTTCTACACTGACCGGTGCCCACTGGCTTTGTAATTACTGCACTCGCAGGTAAGGTCTGTCCAGGTGAGGGGCCCTGGGGAGTCTTTTCAGCTTTTGTCCTGAGTCGAGCATTTCCTCTTCTGGTGAGTTCTCAGATGGCGGAGGAGCCTGGGCCGCGGGGTCAGTGACTTTCCAGCTGGGTGTTCTTTTAGTGAACTCTCTTCAGAAGGAGGTTCAGAAGCATTCAGCTGACCTTTTGCTCCGAGCGCTGGGCCCGACTTTGGGAGGGAAATAGGACTCCTTTTCACAGAACTGCCTCCTCTTTATACTTCAGCTGAAAGTTAAAGGTAATATTTTAAGATCCTTGGCCCCTTCTCCTCCTTGACATTTTTTTATGTACTTCTCTCTTTCATGTATTCATTTTACAGAGTGCTGGCTAGGAGCAGTGCGTCGCAGGGGACAGACTTGCGAAAGTGTGGCCATTACTCCACCAACTCTCAGCTGGTGGAAGGGAGGTTATGGGATAAGAAATACGCATGGATGTTATGGGCTGAATTGTGCCCCCAATTCATCCGTTGAGGTCGTAATCCCAGCACCTCGGAGAGGGATCGTATGAGACATAGTGTCACTACAAGGGTAATTAACTTAAAATGGGGTGATTAGTGAGTCCTAAGCCAGTCTGACTGGCATCCTTATAAGAAGAGGAGATTAGGACACAGACACACACGAAGAAAAGACCGTGTGGGGACACAGGGAGGAGACGGCCATCTGCAAGCCAAGGAGGCCTCAGAAGAAACCAGACCTTCCCACACCTTGATCTCAGACTCCCAGGCCCTAGACCTGTGAGGAAACACCTTTCTGTTGTTTCAACACTCTGGTCCGCGGCACTTTGTGAAGGCAGCCACAGCAGACTAATGCAGTCCACAGCTGGACCGTAAGGTGGAGGGGGACACGCATCACGCAAGAAGTTCTGATAGAGGGCCGTGAACGAGAATGTTCCGAGGAGGGAGAGTGTTTTTACACCTGGGATGCATTTAAACTGAGACTTCATTAGGGCACCTGGGTGACTCAGCCCATTGAGCGTCTGACTCTTGATTCCGGCTCAGGTCATGATCCCAGGGTTGTGGGACCGAGCCCCACATCAGCCTCCACGCTGAGCGCGGACCCTGCTTGAGATTCTCTCTTTATATCCCTCCGCCCCCTCCCCCACTTATGCAGTCTGTCTCTAAAAACAATTTTTTAAATAGTAAACAAATAAACGAACTGAGACCTCAAGGCATGTAGCACAAACGAGAGCTACAGCCTTTCTTCATGAGCATGAGGCTCGAAGCACAAAGCTTCTCCACTGCCTCTGAAGCTTACACTGGGTCATCGTCCTCTCTGTAATGACAACAGCCACTGTTTCTTGTCCATCTTGGGCCAACACTGGCTTATGAGCTGACATCGTTTCTTTTTTTTTTTAATTTTTTTTTTAACGTTTATTTATTTTTGAGATAGAGAGAGAGAGAGAGCACGAACAGGGGAGGGTCAGAGAAAGAGGGAGACACAGAATCTGAAACAGGCTCCAGGCTCTGAGCTGTCAGCACAGAGTCCGATGCAGGGCTTGAACTCATGGACCTCGAGATCATGACCTGAGCCGAAGTCGGACGCTTAACCGACTGAGCCACCCAGGTGCCCCAACTTGACATCGTTTCCAACCCCCACAATGACACCTGTCCAAGGCAGAAGTATTTCTGCGCTGCACGTGCAAGAAAATCCTGCCCTCGGAGAGGCTGGGGAACTTGCCCAAGGTCACCCAGTGACTAAGTGGTGAAGGTGGGACACTTCCCGGGACCGGTCTGACTCCAAACCAATACACGTGCGGCCAACAAAAATTCAGCTCAACCCGGGCCACTGTACTGGAGTCCTAAAGTGACTCATTTGGAAGCAGCTCGCGTTGAGTATTCTGAGCTGTGTGAAAAGACCGTCACAGCCTCAGTGTCGTGCCTTTTATTTATTAAACCATAAAATGTTACAGTGGGTAATTAACCCTGGGAAGGGAAATGAGGGAAAGGGAGGACCGGGCAGAGGAAGCCGCGGAAATCCGAGGAACGGCTCTAATAACCGCCGGTTTCTAGCATCTCTACAGCACGCACAGTGAGGCAGGTACCCTCGGTCACGAGTTACGAGTATTAACCCGTTTAGACTTTACAGGAGTGGTCTGTCTTCACTCGAGGTGTTAAGGTAGAGATGACACGGGCAACTCATCTGTCCACTCAGCGTGTGCCAAACGCCATGCTCCAGATACAACCTGAGCCACGCCAAGCCCCTGAGTGTCATTCTCTCAGGGATCAGAGTGCAGGCGGACCCCTTCCCGGGTTCTCTGAGCGCCGGCTGACGGAAACCCAGGGAAAACAGCATGACCTCCCCCTCCTCCAAGCTCACGTGGAGTTTCTGCAGAGAGAGCCCCTCAGCCTGGCTTGTCGGGTGGTGACCCCCCCCCCCCACCAAGGAAATAAAAGGACACAATTCCTGTCTTCAAAGGATGCATAGTGTGGAGTGTAGGTGGATGGCTTCCCATCGCTTCCCACCAGCAACCCCTAAGTGCCACCTGCACCTCTAGAAACCTTTCCAGGGGACAGTTGTCCCAGCAACGCCCGTCACCTCCGTCTTTTGATTCTGCACATCCCGGTCCGTCGGAATGGACGGCTTCTTTGCAATGACCTCCTGGATTTATTTCCTTGTGGCCACAGTCCATCCCCACTCCTGCCTCTTGGTTGGCTGGTTTGTATCTTCGTCCTTCATTTCATTCCTCGGTTATTACCTTTCCCTTTCTTTTAATTTTTTTTTTTTTACATTTATTTATTCTTTGAGAGACATAGAGAGACAGAGCACAAGTTGGGGAGGGGCAGAGAGAGGAGGAGACACAGAATCCGAAGCAGGGTCCAGGCTCTGAGCTGTCAGCACAGAGCCTGACATGGGACTCAAACTCATGAACCGTGGGATCATGACCTGAGCTGAAGTCAGACATTTAACCGACTGAGCCACCCACCCACGCGCCCCTATTTTTTTTTTAACTTTTTAATGTTTATTTATTTTTGAGAGAGACAGAGACAGAGACAGAGTGTGAGCAGGGGAGGGGCAGAGAGAGGCAGAGAGAGAGGGAGACACAGAACTCGAAGCAGGCTCCAGGCTCTGAGCTGTCAGCACAGAGCCCGATGCAGAGCTCGAACTCATGAGTTGTGAGATCATGGCCTGAGCCAAAGTGGGATGCTTAACTGACTGAGCCGCCCAGGCTCACCTTTCCCTTTCTTGAAGCTTCCTCTGGGGGCAGGTGCTGGGCCTGGGCCTCATCCCTGCTGCTTTTCTTGACCTCACCAGTGCTGACAGTCACTGGGTATCGATTTGGCACTTAGGAAACGTCAGGTCATTATTCCAGATGGGTTTGTGGTGTTTGGAGCCCACCCTGCATGTCCGCGAAAGGTAAGTGAATGAGTTCCCTGTTTCCTGCCCTCCAGGAGAGCGAGGCATGCTGCCTGGAAGAGCACACTCCCCTTTCCCGGCAAGAGAAGCACCTTCCAGAGATCTCGGAAGCATTTAGAGAGCAAGCAGTGCACGGCAGTCTGTGCCCAGGATCATGTCTGGGGCTTGCTGGAACTGAGGGATGGGAATAATGCTACCGTGCGTTGATCGTTACATCTTCTTGTTAAACATCATCTTCGTGATTGTGATGACAATTGATTGAGCATGACCCTGGGACACCCGGGTCTGAGCACTTCACATGTATTAATTCACCTCGCATACATTAAAGCGTTTAGAACAGAATAAGGCACTGAGCATGTTGCTTCTCACCGTTTTCTCTTGTTGTCTCTGAAAAACTGCATAAAATAGAGTCTCTGCTGATCCAGATTCCATCAGTAAGGTAACCAAGGCTCAGAGTAGCATTGGCAACAAGGCCTAGGCCCGTCCCCCAGGGATTCTAATGTAATGGGTCAGGGCTGGCTGGTTATTGATATTTTTCAAAAGGTCCCCGGGAGACGATGATGGGTAATTAAGCGGAGTGGGGGGTCGCTGACGCAAAGCGGCATAGCCGGATTCAAACTGCTGCACCGCACGGTAATAACCTCATACTGTGTGACAGCCGGCACGAACAGGAAAAAGATGAAGATTCACCCAGCTCCAGCGGTGGGGGGGCGGTTGTTGGCACCCCATCAAATCAGACCAGACTGACTCCTGGGTGGGAATATTAAGTACCAAAGAATCAGCTGATTGTTGTAGCTTACAGGTGCTTCTGCTCTGGCCCCAGCCCAGCACCATCTGCCCTTGGAGCTGAGAGCAGGTGTCCCAAACCCACCTGATCAGGCCATGACACCAGGGTTGGTTTAAAGACAGGCTCCTGGTTTTACCCAAATCTCCTGATACCCGCTCTAGGGGAGGAGCCTGAAGTCAGTGTTTTTCACACATTTATGGTGGTAAGTTGGGGAGACTGTGGGGCCCATGCCCAGGAAGGGAGTCCGGGGTCACTCAAGATGCCCCATGTGACCCTGGGGGCATGTGTACCTGAACTGCCCACCCCAACACTTTGGATGCCTCATTTAACAGGTACTAATATCACAAACATTGTTCTCCCACCTCTGTGAAAATCTGCCATCTAAAGCGATAGTTTCCAAACTTTTGGATTTCCCAGAGCACACAGTTGCAAGAAAGTAACCCAGGGAACGACACAGAGCCTAACGTTTATTTTGCCACCCAAGGACATTTATTTTTTTTTATTTTTATTTTTTCAACGTTTATTTATTTTTGGGACAGAGAGAGACAGAGCATGAACGGGCGAGGGGCAGAAAGAGAGGGAGACACAGAATCGGAAACAGGCTCCAGGCTCTGAGCCATCAGCCCAGAGCCCGACGCGGGGCTCGAACTCTCGGACCGTGAGATCGTGACCTGGTTGAAGTCGGACGCTTAACCGACTGCGCCACCCAGGTGCCCCATGCCACCCAAAGACATTTAACACCCATCATAACAACAACACCGTATCAACTTTGTCCCCTCTCACGCACATACCACCCCCCTCTCCCCACCAAAAGGATAAACTGAACAAATTTCACCTCACGGGAAACTCGCTGCACCCTACTTTTTCTGTCTTCCTTGCAGGGTGGTCCATCCCCATCACTGGACCACCGTTGAGGGAACTCCCTCGGTTCACCAGTTTACCTGCTTCCGACTGGGCACCTGTTGCATGCCGGGTCCCCGGGTGGGTGCTTGCCAGAGAACGGTGGGCGTGACCTCATGGTTCCTGCTCTCCAGGAGCAAACAACGCCGCTCAGGCAGGGCTCCTGTGGGGGCAGATGCTGACAACGGGCAAGTGTGGGCTCCAAGGCAGCATGAAGGAGGGATGAAAGCAAACCCAGACCTGGTTATCAAGACAGATTTCCAGGAGGAAGCAACATCCAGGCAGACTTGAGTCCCATGAGCAGAGGAGTGAAGGGAATAACGTTCTGGGCAAGGAGGCATTGCCGGGGAGCTCGAGGCAGGAAGGGGGAGCATGAGGCTTCTTCTTAGGACTAGAACGGCCAAGAAGAACAAGGCATGGGGCCAGGATTAAATAACAGGACCACATTAAGAGGTTGGAATTAAACATGATGGGAATCCAGGAAATGCAGGTAAGCAAGAGATGACCCCATCCGATTCTCAGTTTAGAAAGGACACTTTGGAAACTGTTGCCTTCGGCTGGGGTTCAGCGGCTGATCCTCTACTGTGTAAAGACCACACGTTTCGTGTGTCAAGCCTGTGTTACTTTCCCTCTAATTTCCCCCGTTCTGTCCACACCTGATTAGCATCCTGATAAGAACCTTTCAGGAAATCCACATATATGTTCCAAATGTAAATTCCAGTTGTTTCTCTAATAAACACTCAAGTTTTATGTTCCTGGCTTATGTGGATCAACCTCTCACTTGATTTGCGCTGTATGGAATGTTAATGTTCTCAGTTGTGGTTAATCGCTCATGTAACTTTTTCTGTTTTCTTGATGCATGCTGCCTCTGCCTTACTCTCCTCAACTCCTCCACTGCCTTGACTTCCACAGCCAGAAAATGTAGTCTTGACCCTGAAGGTAAAGTCCTTGTTTGCTGTTTCTCGTGACTCTGTCTAAAGCCAAGGGGAATGAGATGCTTCTGCCAGAACTTCCTGTCCTTCCACTGTCGTCTCCGTTGTGATGGTGTTTTAAATGGCTCCTTTCATTTTTGTTTATGGAATCGTCATCAATCTTCTCTTCCAGTTTTAGTAGTTCACCAAAGAATAGCGACCCACCTCAGCAACTTTCCATCTTGATCTTCTCCTCGTAATCCACAAAGCGTTCTGGAGATCCTGGCGTATCAGAAACTCAGGTCTTTGCCAGACCTTGGCCAGACTTCACCCAGAAGTGAACTCTTGAGATGACATATACCTTGATCCTGATACTGTTTGACATAATATTGAGTCCGTAACGTTGGAAAGGTTGTGTATAAAGTGTGAAAATTGTACTTGGACGTAAACATAGTGCATTTAGAACATTTTGAAAACACCTTCTCTCCTGCATTTGAGTTCAGTGTCTTCTGGACTCAGAAAGGATTTTAAATCCCTTTTAAAATAGTAAATAATTGGGACACCTGGGTGGCTCAGTCAGTTAAGCATCCAACTTCAGCTCAGGTCATGATCTCACTGCTCGTGGGTCCGAGCCCCGCGTCGGGCTCTGTGCTGACAGCTCGGAGCCTGGAGCCCACTTCAGATTCTGTGTCCCCCATCTCTCTCTGCCCCTCCCCTGCTGACGCTCTGTCTCTCTCTCCCTCAAAAATAAATGTTAAAAAAATATTTTCAAAATAGTAAATAATTTAGATCATTTTCTGGGAAATGATAGGGAAATAGAGAAATAAGAGTTTGGAGTATCTCAATTGGCCGATGATGTGGGTCCTCAAGGGCAGGTTACAAGCACCAGTAGGTAATGACTCTCTGTGGCCATGGGGTAGGGCTTGGTTTAAGCGGGAGCATGTATTTGATGAATGAATGAAAAATTCAACCACTTTTTTTTTTTTTAGCATTTTATCCTTAATCTCAAAGTACATAATATTCAGGTGTCATGTGCACCTCGGTCCTCTTAGACATTTGTCCACAGACTTAATTACTATTGACTGAATATTTGCTGTGTGCTGGGCACTTGGCTGGCTGTTTTCACGTTCAATCGTTTAATTATCTGACCCTCACAATATGCGTATGACCTTAATGCTAATTCCGGTTTAGGGAACCAGAAGCCCTCCCCCGCCCCTACCCCGTGTAATTTAAAGCAGGTCTTCTGACTCTCAGTTCAGTGTTAAGACCTCACATTCATTTCGAGGAACAACACTTGTGTCTTCTTTTACTTCGCTCAGCTTGGCTTCAGAATCTGTTGTTAGCGAACCGGTCCATTAGTTGTAAACAGCCAGCCTGTAATTGTCATTCTTTAAACAATGTCTTGCTTTATGGAAACATGAGTTGCAGTAAGCTCTAGTTTTGTCATCCAGGGGCATTATTTTTTTTTTTATCCCAGAATAAAGCCAGCAGTGATTATAAAAATATATTTAGGTCACATGATTGTATCCAGAAGCCGTGCTAGTTCCTAGGAACGTAGGGAACTGTCTGAGACACGGGCCGGCAAGCCCAGCCTCACCCACACGGCATGAAAAGACCATTTATTAAGTGTCTGCTCTGGGCCACATACTTCCCCTGACACGTTATCACTGATCAGACACTATCTGTAATGTTCTCAATGACCTTACAAGATGCGTATTATTACTCCCAGCATATGGATAGGGAAACAAAGTGAGTGGCCAGTGATTAACATATCTGACTCAGAAAGTCTGAGCTTTTTTCCTAAATTTAGATATATTCCAGATTCTTTTGTAACTGTGGGTTTGTCATTAATTGATCCGATCTGAACTGCTTTGAATTCTTAATAACTTCTACTGGTCCTGTCTTTCTGGTGAAAAGCATCCTGTCATGTAGATTATTCATAATGCAAGTATTTCTGCCAAAATTTGTTACACCATTTAAACACAAACAAAATATATTTGGGGTTTAAAGTAAGTCATTTGCAACTTGACCCTGCATTTGGACATTTTACTGTGAGTTGAAAGAAGATAGTAATGACTTGTTTACACATTCTGATAACTCCAATCTCTGTTACTCCTTTTTTTTTAATAAAAATATTTAATGTTTATTTCTGAGAGAAGAGAGAGAGACAGAACATGAGCAGGGGAGGGGTAGAGAGAGAGAGAGGGAGACACAGAATCTGAAGCAGGTTCCAGGCTCTGAGCTATCTGCACAGATCCTGACATGAGGCTCGAACTCACAAATGGTGAGATCATGACCTGAGCCGAAGTTAGACGCTTAACTGCTTAACCGACTGAGCCACCCAGGCACCACTCTGTTACTTCTGTTTCAAAAAGGAGCATCAAAATGGAAGCACACACACACACACACACACACACACACACACACACATACACACACACACACACATTAAGATTCAACTCACAGTGGCAAGTAGGTTAAAAAAAACAAAACAGGTACACCGTGGAATGTTTTACTCGTTATTTTGTGTTAGAGGACATGCTGTTTCTTTTGTTTGACTTGCAGATTATCTACTATGAAATCGGGGTCATCATCTGTGCTGTCCTGGGACTGCTCTTTGTCATTCTGATGCCCCTGGTAGGGTTCTGCTTCGGTCTGTGTCGTTGCTGTAACAAGTGCGGTGGAGAGATGCACCAGCGTCAGAAGAAGAATGGGCCCTTCCTGAGGAAGTGCTTTGCGGTCTCCCTCTTGGTGATTTCTATATTTATAAGGCGAGTAGAATCTTGGGGGACAGCTGATTGTGTTTTGAACTGTTCAGCCCATGCCTTTAATACAAAACAACAACCACCACAACACAGCCATAAAACAGAAGAAGACAAAAATGCTTGTCCGGGGTGGTTCAAAACAATGTTACCATAACCAGAAGTTAGGGTTGTCATCAGGGTGCCAAGCCAACCCTTCGGTGCTTGTTCGTGTCGAAGACGAGCTGATAAATCTTGGCCTGCAGAAAGCTTTTACCCCGCAGAACAACAGCTCCTTCCTTTAAAAAAAAAAAATTTAATGTTTATTAATTTTTGAGACAGAGAGAACACGAGCGGGGGAGGGGCAGACAGAGAGGGAGACACAGAATCTGAAGCAGGCTCCAGGCTCTGAGCTGTTAGCACGGACTCCACCGTGGTGCTCGAACTCATGAACCGTGAGATCATGAGCTGAGCCGAAGTCGGACGCCCAGCCGACTGAGTCACCCAGGCGCCCCAGCAGCTCCTTCCTTAAATAGCTGTTTGGAGACAGGCGGCCTGCAGAAGGCAGAGAATTTGCTTGTTGATTTGTGCATCCAAAGGGATCCTGAAGGATGGGTACAGTCCCTGAATCGGGGAATGTGAGAACACTGTAGAACAGAATTAACTTTCTAATAATAAACCCACTTTTCCTGAATTTGCAGTTAAGCTGCTACCCTCTGCGGAGGCCTGGAACACACTTCATAATTTAGGATGTGTTTCTTCTACGGTCCCTTCTGCTCCATCAGCTTTCCAACTGCCTGACAGATCAGGAGTACACTGCTCTTAAGACAGTAGCATTTTGCCGAGTCCAAATCAGAATCCTCGGCTGAGGAAGGTGCTTCACGTTAGGGGTCCCCTGGTTGCGATATTTGGTCATGGTTCCACATTTCCTCATTCATTCAGCCAATGAATGTCATGACATTTAGCGACAGAAGTAAAGTGCTTATGACGTGACTAGTGCTAGGCCCCAAGGAGGCACAGAGACCGTGAGGACTGACAGTCAGCCTCCTCCTCGCTGTTTCCTCCAAGCACCGTGTTTGCTCGGTAGCTGTAAGATTTTTCTGGTTTCACTAAATAACTGATGTTCGGGAATTTAAGCAGAAAACAGGATTAAACAGAACAATTTAAGCTGGCCTACCAGCTGAAGTTTTAGATGGAAATCCAAGAAGAAAAGTTCTTCAGTTGTGGCTATTAGTGGGATCCTGGTAAGACCTACTCTTTGGGGTGATCATTCATTGGAAGGCGGTATACCTAGGGATGCCTGGGTTGTTCAGTTGGTTAAGCGTTGGACTTCAGCTCAGGTCATGGTCTCGTGGTTCGTGGGTTCGAGTCCTGCGTCAGGCTCCATGCTGACAGTGCAGGGCCTGCTTGGGATTCTCTCTCGCTCTCTCTTCCTCTCTCCCTGCCCCTCCCCCACTCACGCTTTCTCTTTCAAAATAAATAAATAAACTTTAAAAAAAAAAAAAAAAAAAGGAAGGCAGTATTGGAAAGGACTGGACTGATCCCGACGTGCTGATATGAACCAGTCCCCAAGAGAGATGAATTCACAGAAGCAACTGGCAGACCATGTATATATACAACATGGTCCCTACGACAAAAACAAAAAGGAGAGAGACACAAACACTTGGTTATATTTACACAGAGCATCTGTAGTAGGCTTGCCAAGACACTGATGCAGTGGTTGCCCCTGGGAAGGAACTTTGGTGGTTGTGGAGGGTAGGAAGGAAATCACTTCTCACGGCATATAGATTTTTTTTTTTGTCTCTTTTGAATTACCTACCATGCCTCAGGTATTACCTACCGACTTCATTGCACCAAAAATTGAACAACCAAACAAAATCTTCACAAAAAGCTTAAAAGGCAGTGCATTCCACTGACTCCAGGGCAATCATTTTTTTTTGGAACAAAGACACACTGTTGCTGCAAATAGTTAAATAATAGACCTTAACGGTCTATGTGCAAACAGGACCCAAGTGAATACATTGCTAATTTCATGCACCCTTGTTTGACCACCAGGGAGTTATTTTTGTTTTCTCTGTCTCTCTGTCTGTCTGTCTACTTCTCTCTGTAAATAATTTGTTTCTGCACATTGAATTCTGAAGAGCAGCTTGAGATCAGGTCAATGGTGATTTCAGATGTCCCTGTCTCTCTGCTTTGTGTTTGAAGTCTTTTCAGGAATGCACGGACCTTACAGCTATGGAAGTGGTTACCTCCTCCCAGCTACCAGGAAAGTGTTAGTTGCAGTCCAAAGAGACGTCAGACCCAGCAGAGATCATTGTGCATTTCTTTTAAGCCTAAAACTTCCATCTTTCATTCATCCAGAGACTTGGACAGCCATGCTTCTCCCTCTGTAGAGGCATACCCTGAACATCCAAAATGAGGCCCACATGACAAAGTGTCATCTAAAAATACTCGCCATTAGGGCTTCTTGTTCACATGATTACTTAATAGTTAATAGTTTTCACTTGATATAAATACATGTGATATAATTTCAGGAAAAGTCTTTGTTGCATGTAGTTAACCTATTTACCCAGATAAATGTTTACATATGTAATAATGGACTTCCCAGGTTTTTTTGAATGAAGCACATATTCTATATTGGGTTTCTATTTTTATTTTTATTTTTTAAATTTAAATCCAAGTCAGTTAACATATAGCGTATTAATGGTTACAGGAGTAGAATTTAGTGATTCATCACTTGCATATAACACCCAGTGCTCATCTTAACAAGTGCCCTCCTCAGTGCCCATCACCCATTTAGCTCATCCCCCGCCCACCTGCCCTCCAGCAGCCGTCAGTCTGTTCTCTGTATTTAAGAGTCTCTTATGGTGTGCCTCCCTCTCTGTTTTTGTCTTATTTTTCCTTCCCTGGGTTTCTACTTTTAAATTGGGCTTTTATTTACATTACGTAAAATTATGTGTCACATATGTCATACTTCCCCCGGAACTCTTTGAATTATTTATATTATGTTTAAAATACCAAAATATAATTAACAATAAAGCTACAAAGTTGGAAATAAACTTGACTTTCATTTATATGTGGAATGAAGGTGACAGTTTTTTTTTTCTTCAGAACTCAGATCCATCAAACAAATTTAGATAAGTGTTTTTTTTTTCTCCCCAGGGATATTTTAGTTTAAAAAATTCTTTTAAAAAATACATGCTGTGATTCTACAGCCTTGTATACATTCAGTTTAGATATTTTTCCCCACTCAAGTAAAACTTACTATGTTAAAACCCATAACTTCAAATTTCAATATAATTAAAACAAAATTGATCACCTATTTGAGGCCAAGTGACAAATTTAAAACAAATTTTACATAATACATTGAATTTATATATGAATTATAGACAGCTCTAAAAAGGAGTACCATTTGAGATTACTTAGTTTACTTTAAATTCACACTAGAAGTTTAAACTTCTTGGCTGGAAGTGTAAAAACTTAGAATCGCTATCATGATGTCTTTTGAAACCTCTATTTGTTCGCAAGTATTTTCAACATCGTGAGTCAAATACTAGCTGTATATTCTTTGCAAAGTAATCAGAACTAGCCAAAGAGGTTAAAGACCAAGGGAAAGTGAAGATTTCTGTTACAATTCGATAGAAAGGAGAGTAAGAGTATGTCCACGAAATCATAGGAGATAAAAATAATAGGGGAAAGAATGTCAATAAAGCTAGGAGGCAGAAAGAGAAGAAAAAGGAGATATTTGCTTCTGGCTTACACTGACCTCAGCAGAGATTGGGTCCTATTGATAAATAATCTTTGGATATGATTTTTTTTTAATTTTTAAAATTTTTTTTATTTTTTGCATATGATTTTTTTGTAAACCCAGAGCAGTCTACTTGCCTTTTATCAGGCTCAATTTCATTTCGTGGCATTCCACTACATCACAATTAATACCGACGTTGGTTTTTAAATGCATCTTCAGTCCTCTTATTTTTCATCCATCCTTTTTTTTTTAATTTAAAACAAATTAAATCTTTTTTTTTTAATTGAGAAAGGCATAGGTGTTAAGGAGAAAGGTCCCCTAGTACATATGGAATATATGTGGTCATGTTCTCTCTCTGAGCTCTTCCAGAGGCAGCTGTGGAATGTTAGAATTCATAGACGTTGACATATGTTTATGTAAGTCTTTTTGACCCTCAGCAGAATTGAATTTCCATCTCTCACTGTAGACTGTTGAAGCAGATGTGTGTTACTCCAGAAAAAGCCAAGTTTCCTCTCCCTTCTTTCTTTTACACTTTGTCATCGCTGCATTTTTTAGAATTCCAAAAGGTTATGGACAGTAACAAAAGAGAAACAAATAGCCATATTTATTTTTCCAGTATATTTCTAAGTTTCTGACTACAGCAAACCAGCTTTTCCAGTTGCCATGGTGAAAATTGAATTCCAGTCTCTTTCAGGAAGATGGCTGTTTTCAAAATTCATTTTTTTAATTAGGATTGTGATGGTCAATTCCTGGCATGGAGGCCACAAGGTTCTAGAAAAGAAACTGAGCATGCCTGAAAATCATGAGATTTTCAAGATGTGAATGAGAGAGTTATTTAAAATTAAAATTAAAATTAAAAAACTATCTTTAAAAAACAAGAGATCAGTTATAGACTGAGAGCATTTATTTGGCAATTATTGGCTAATTTCATCAAGTCAGTGGAAATTGGTAAAAAAAAAATTGCTACAAATTTTACAGGGTTAACCTCAGTTTTTAAAACTTCTAAGTTCACTTTTAAGTGTATATGCGAGAAGATTGGTCTGTCCATTAAAAATATAGAAGATGTAATATTAATATACCATAAAAATTAAAATTCCTATATTTGGCTAAAAAGTTCAAGAGATCTTGTTGTACCGCATAAAAGCATATGTTCTTAATATTTTTTATGTCAAATGCCAGATTCCCCTTTTTGTGTGAGACAGTTCCCTCAGTGTTCTCCTATTCTAATAGTTGGCTGACACATTCATGTGATTTTTTTTTTCTGCTTAAAAAATATATTGAGGGGGCACCTGGATGGCTCAGTGAGCGCGTGACCGACTCTAGATTTCAGCTCAGGTCATGATCCCAGGATCGTGGGTTCAAACCCCGCATCGGGCTCCGAACTGAGCACGGAGCCTGCTTATGAGTCTCTCTCTGCCCCTCCCTCACTCGCACACACGTGCTCTCTCTCAAAACAGAACACTAGACAAAAAAAAGAAAACAAAACATATTGCGTAATAGGATTTTCTAAATCAAGGCAACAAGAAGCATAACTTCTTTATTCTCTATTTGTGTTTAAATGAGAGTTTTAAATTAGACATTGCAAATGGAGACTGTCAGTTGGTCTGCTTAGTATTTAGAGGTTTTTTTTTCCCTTTACTTAGTAGGTAAAATTTTATCTTTTTAATAAAGTTTTTTTATTTATTTTGAGAGACACAGAGACAGTGCAAGTGGGGGAGGGGCAGAGAGAGGGAGGGAGAGAGCAGCCAAGGCAGGCTCTGAGCTGTGAGTGCAGAACGCCACTCAGGTCTCGAACTCACGAACCGTGAGATCATGACTTGAACCCAAACCAAGAGTGGGACGCTTAACCGACTGAGCCACCCAGGCATCCTTTAGTTGGTAATATTTTAAAGGGGGAAATTTTACATAAGAATACAGATTTCCGGATTTTTGGAATGAGTGGAAAGTCTGGCAGTGCAGAGCATCTGCCCCCACCCCCACCTGCCACCTCCCAGCTCCTAGCGGTTCATATCGTAGGTTTTGCCCTTTGTGGTTTCTGTGTAGGCATTTGAATTTGCCATCCTTCATATAAGATTTACAATGTGTTATGGGTCTGAAAATCAGCTCTGAAAGCTGCTGAATTTTATTCCAGAATTCTGTGTAGGACAGTTTGGTTTTTCAAAAAAAGATCAATACTTTCATTTTAATTGGATTCGTAACTGATTGGCAGAAATGTGGGTCTTTTTAAATATGTTGCATTGAAATTCAGTATTGTTTTGCAGAGTTGTATTGCATTTCATTTTACTGATTGATGATCTTTTGAGTAAAGGCATCTATCCAGTAAAGGAACACAGTTTATGACCAAGACTCTCCAAACATAAGGCTAATCTTCTAAATGGATCAAGTGAAATAAAGCCCAGTCTTTAAACCCACTTTCACTGAGCACCCCCCCCCCCCCCCCCCCCCCACCCCGTGGACTAGAGACCCATCGTTCACCTAAAGTTGACAAAGAAGCAGTTCCCACCTCTTTCTAGGGAAATTAAATACAAGTAGAAATAAAGACAAAATAGAGTATGAAGTGAGCAATGGCCCACGAGAATTTCAGGGAGAGCGCTCTGGGAGTTCGGGGCCAGGAGGTTCTTCTTCCGTCTAGGGGGTTCGGTGAAAGCCAAGTACACTTGGACCTGTGTGTTTCTCAAGTTCATTCTACCTTCTTACATGACAAAATCGGTCTGGAGCATGATGGGTGACCATGTGGACACGCGGGGGAGAGAGAGAGAGAGAGCAAGGGGCCCCAGCGTGAAATGCTGGGGTGGGCAGGTATACTCAGGTGTTAGCACTGACTCGTCATGGGGTGGACTGTTTGAAACTGGACCTGGTAATAAAGATCCAGGTGCGTTGCTACAACCCACTCTTTCCTTTATTTTTCTGTTCACACTACTCCAAAGTCCTTGCTTTGGGTCATTTGGCCTCATTTGGCATGGGTGCATCATTTGATAACTATTACTTTTATGCTATATTGCCTGCCTCATGAGTACAAAGGTAGACTTAAGACTGGCAAAGATGGATTGTAAGGTGATCGTTCCAAATGGCACAGATTATTGTTAATATGCTTTTTTTATTTAATTACCATCCGCATGAACCCAAACCTTAGAAAAAAGTCCTGGAGGGGCACCTGGGTGGCTCAGTCGGTTAAGCGCCCGACTTCGGCTCAGGTCATGATCTTGCGGTCCGTGGGCTCAAGCCCCGCGTCTGGCTCTGTGCTGACAGCTCAGAGCCTGGAGCCTGCTTCAGATTCTGTGTCTCCCTCTCTCTCTGACCCTCCCCCGTTTATGCTCTGTCTCTCTCTGTCTCAAAAATAAATAAACATTAAAAAAAAAAAAAAAAAGTCCTGGAGAGCTTGTGGACATCCATTACCCCTCTCCTTTGCAACAAGAGAAGTACTTATCCAGTTTAACTTTCAGTTTTGCAGTACTGGCTGAAACTCAGAGAAGGAAAGTGACTTTCCCAAGCTCCCACGGTGTAAGTTAGTGGCAGTAGAAGGACTAGAACCTGAGTCTCATGTTCCTACTCCAGTACACGTTCCATGGCAACTTGTTAACCATAAGAAATACTTTTCAACACTGTGTATTCTTACAGACTTTTTTTGGCTTCATTTGGCAAACATAATGTACCTGTGTAATACTGCTCAGGGCAAATACATTTTATGTGAGACCAGCAATGAACCAATGCTGTTTGGAATGAATCGTGACTATATATAGGGTGAATGATTATCCCCATTTCCCAAGATGGAGAAGTTGCCTGAGAACATGGGACTCTGGGTGCAAAAAAACAGGCACTTGGCCACAGTGTTTGTCTGTTACTTACAAAACTTTGTTCTGGAAACATATCCACATCTTCCACTGGATAGTTACAAACAAAAGATTTGTTGTACATTTCTGTAGGTTTACTGTTCTGTTAGGAGTTTGTGTAATTCCTTGCTGCCATCTAGTGGTGAAATACAGAAGAGCCTTAGTAATTCCCAATTCTCAGTGTAACATTTTAACGTTGGAAGGCTCCGACACAAAAACCAGCTGGTCAAATTAAGTCAGGAGATTGTTAGTAACTAGTTAGCATTAAGAACGCTTAAAGTGATCAAATGCAGACATCTTAGATGAATTGAAAACTCTGTTTTTAATTTTCACGTACAGTAGCTTTCCATGAGCAATGCCTTTCATAGTATTTTTTAAACTCTTTTATTTAAGTCTATTTTACATAGACTGGAGCATCCATATCATAAGTACGTAGGCGTCAACTTCCATGTCGTGAACGTGCAGATGATGTCATTAGCCACCCCTCCCCAAACAGAACCAGAGTTTTAGCACCATCATTTTCTCGAGGTGGTACATTACATAAAATAGAACGATACAGTATGTATGCTTTGTTTACAGCTTCTCATGTGGCATTTTAATACTAAAGTAACTCATGTTTCTTTTTAACCTGTAAAATAAAACTAATAGAGACAATTAGAGAGATCCCTGCCTTTGGAGGGAGCAGAGGTATGCATGGGAGGTGCGTTTATGCGTGCACTGTGCAGGAGGATGTACCGCCATATTCACATGTGTGCAGGAATGGGACTCTGACGCGCTCTGTCTTATAACCTTTGTTCCGTTTCCTCCACAATTTCTTGGGAACATTGTTCCATTTATAAGATTTCCTATTCAACAGAACAGCATATCTTAAACAGGTATGTGCCTCCTCCAAGAGGACCGAGTCCTGTTTTGTGGCCCACGTGTTGGATTATGGGATCTTGGCAGGAAGGCTGTGGCAGGGGAAGAGGGCCTGGTGGGGAGGAGGGTCCTGCCATCGTGGGGCCTCTGCTCAGAAGCCCTGCTCCCCTCCCATCTACAGAGCTGCTCTGTGCCTGGCCAGGTGACCACGGGTCACACACTGAATGCTCTTCTCTTCTCTTCTTCATTTCCTGCAGCATTGGTATCATCTATGGTTTTGTGGCAAACCACCACCTGAGGGCCCAGATCGAAAAGACTCGGAAACTGGCAGACAGCAACTTCAGAGACTTGAGAACTCTCCTGAACGGAGCTCCAGCGGTAAAAACCACACTTGTGCATCCATGATGCTTTGTGTTTGGGCCTCTCAGAGTCCCTGTATGTATCTGGGACCCCCTTTGGATGTCTAGAGACCCAGTAAATCAGCATAGACAGGTGCTATCCTCATCTTATAGATGAGGAAATAAAGGCCCAGCAAGTGATTTTCAAAAGAGTATAAAAGCGTAATTGCAGATCTGGTGTCATTACTTTGTTATTTTATTTATTTTACTTTATTTTAAGGCACAACAGGGGATCCTGGGTGGCTCAGTCGGTTAAGCATCTGATTCTTGGTTTTGGCTCAGATCGTGATCTCATGGTTTTGTGGGTTCGAGCCCCATGTTGGGCTCTGTGCAGACAGTGCAGAGGCTGCTTGGGATTCTCTCTCTCCCTTTCTCTCTGCCCCTCTCCCACTCACACTGTCTCTGTCTCTCCCAAAATAAATAAATAAACTTTAAAAAACATTTAATTATTTTAAGGTATAACATAAGATTATAATACTTATTATAAAACTGCTTAACTATCTTAAGGGTCTCGTGATTTTTTTATTTTTTATTTTTTTATTTTTTTTAAACGTTTATTTTTGAGACAGAGAGAGACAGAGCATGAACAGGGGAGGGTCAGAGAGAGGGAGACACAGAATCTGAAACAGGCTCCAGGCTCAGAGCTGTCTGCACAGAGCCCGACGCGGGCCTCGAACTCATGGACCGCGAGATCATGACCTGAGCCGAAGTCGGCCGCTTAACCGACTGAGCCACCCAGGCGCCCCAGTGATTTTTTTAAAAAGAAAAATCTGGGTGCTATTGTCCTTTCCCTTTGGGAATACCTGCCATTTGTGTGCAGTTACTCTTGTCATGAAAATTTTCTGCTTTATAAATACCCATTTGCTAGTATCTGTACAGTTGTGTAGAATTCCTCGGGAAGGGGACACTGAGACACATGCATGCACACACACACACGCGTGCACATGCACACACATGCACACACACGCATGCACACACACATACACGCACACTCAGAAGTTGTTTTGGGGAGAAGGGGAACAGGGTGGCTGGAGGGCACATTTTTTTCTGTATCCCAGAAGCGTGTTAATGTCTTGCCTGTACAAAATACTGTTTTTAAAGATATCTGAGCAGAAAGCAGCTTAAATAATTGATGCTGGGCTGATGGGTACCAGAATGTGCAGAAGGATGCCCTCCTGTTGAATTCACTAATCAGAGCCCACTAGGATCCATGGGCTTTTTCACACAGAAATGCACTCTTCTAAGTTTAGTCTACCAAAACAATACTAACACATTAAATATTGTATCAGTTTTTAAAAATGTGGTTAGAACTAGGGGTGCCTGCGTGGACCAGTCGGTTAAGCGACCGACTTCGGCTCAGGTCATGATCTCACACTTCGTGAGTTCGAGCCCCACGTCGGGCTCTGTGCTGACAGCTCGGAGCCTGGAGCCTGCTTCGGATTCTGTGTCTCCCTCTCTCTCTGCCCCTCCCCCGCCCTGCACTCTGTCCCTCTCAAAAATAAATAAACATTAAAAAAAAAGACAGAGAGGTGGATCTGTTTCCAACCCCTTGAATCTGGTCTGTGCCTGTGACTTGCCGTGGCAAGAAGAACACAGTGCACGTGACCCTGGCCTCAAGCTCCCAGAGACCTTGCAGTGTTCGCTCTCATTCCCTTGCTGCCAGGACCATCATGTGAAAACACCCAGACTGGCCACTTGGAAGAAGAGGCCATGTCAGGAGAGGGGCCCATTTGTCCCCAGGGGAGCTGGCCCCGCCCAGACTCTCAGAATCAGGAGAAAGTATAAATCATGGTTCCTGAGCCAAGAAGTTTTGGAGTGTTATTAGGAAGTCTGTGTATCAGAACATATAAGCGTCTTTAAGAACCTGCTTTATTTTTTTTAATGTTTGGATTCAGGGTAGTTTTTGTATGTTAAATCTCTTTTTATTGTGGCTTTGAACTTTAGAAGAGGTCTCATACAATTTTACTTTATTTTATTTTATTTTTTTTTAGGAAATCAGCTATATCCTGAGCCAGTACACCACCACTAAGGAAAAGGCATTCTCAGATCTGGATAGTGAGTAAGACTTAAAATTGCCTCAAATTCATTTGTTTGTTTGTTTGTTTGTTTTGGCTAGAAGATGCGATGACCATCTCCCATAAAACACGGGCTAAGGGATAAAGTATGCGATGTCTACAATGTCTTCATGAAAGTTGGAGCAAAAGAGAACAATTCCCGACAGTGACAATTTGCAGTTTGTTACCTGATGAGTAAAGCCCAGCTTTTATTGTAAAAATGCTTTTGCTTTCTTTAGTCAGAAGTGTTTGTTCTTCATTCCCCTTGTGACAGAGGAGATGCGTCTCTGTCAGGTCCCCTGTTACAGACAGCAGTGGGCTCCCCAGAGAAACCAGTGGGCTTCAGAAATCGAGGGGCGGTCAGTGCTGGTCCCTGCGGGTCCACGAGGAGTTCACACACTGCCTGGCTCAGTGGTTCTCAACCAGGAGCTGGTTTGCCCTCCAGGCGACATGTGGCAACATCTGGAGACATTTTGGTTGTCCCTACAGTGAGGGTGGGGACAGAGCTCCTGGCACCAGTTGGTAGCGGCCAGGGATGCATCCGGACACCCTACGACACACAGGACAGCCCCCACAACCAATTATCCAGCTCAAGACATTGATAGTGCCAATGTTGGGAACCCCGGGCCTTGCTGGAAAGATTAGAGATAACGATTGCAGCTCAACTTCATCAACATTGTGTTTCCAGGACAGGTCCCGCCCCCGCCCGCGCTAACCGCTAACCGAATGCTGAGCGTTCCTGTGAAGACTTTTTTTTTTTAATTTTTTTTAACGTTTATTTTATTTTTGAGA